AAAAAAAAAAATCACAATAAATATTCTAAGGTTCTGCAAAGATCTGACTTTTTTCCTGATTCTTCCTAAACTCAAGGAAGTGGAATTAACTGTATTCAAAAAAGTAAATGCTACCACCTGAGTCTTGCTCAGAACCAAAATTAGAAGTCACACTCCAGTCCAGTTCAGGTCAACACTGAAGAGTCCAAATAACTTCAAGAACAAAATAGAATTAAAAGCTGTAGTCAAATTCTGCTGATTAATAGTGTGGGAGCAATCTATTACTAAAACAAGGAGCCAGGTCCTTCCAACACTGTCTCCTAGACTAACAGGCAGAGAGTAAGGCAATGGCAACAAAAAGGTAAACTCTCTTCCAAAATGAAAAGTCCTATACTATGCAGGGGTGCTATCCAAGATCCTCAGTCAATCATCTTTATAGGTCTCATCACAGAATTATTTCCATTTGCCAGGTTTAGTCCTCCAGCAAGACAGAGCACAAATGGAACATGGATGATGCTTCCCAAAGCTATGTAATTTAGGCTCCCATGATGCAATTCAGCTCAAAAGCCAACAATGCAGCTCAGCCCAAAGGACACACCTGGGCAAGGCCAAGCCCTCAGGATGACACAGATGTCTACCTATCTATATCTATGCAATCAGGTTGGTAACCAGATGCTGGGGAAGTGACTTATTCTGTCACAACAAGGGCTAGTCACCAATTTACTGAGTTTCCCTATTCTGATTTATGGTATTAAAATGAGGTCTCATTTGCACACATCCTAAAAAAGATGACTGAGCATTTCCCCCCTGCTGTTTTCTCTTTTCAGCATACCACAATTTCAGAGAACTGGAGATTGAGCCACTTCCTACCTTTTATCTATTATCCCCCCCAATCTCCTTCCCCCCCCCCCCAAATAAGACCCTCTATCACCTACAAAAACAGAGCTAACAAAATCAGATTTGAACTAAAGGACACTGACTCAACTGACCCTGATGTGCAAAGGGCTCCAGCCACTGTCCCAACATTAGGAAGAACCGATCCAGGTTCAATGGTATCAACATCTGTAAACAGACACAAAGAGGTAATTGTAAGTTATCAAGAGCTAGGGAAATAGAAGTTACCACATAATTACCATTGTTTCAATCTGAGTTACCACTTCTTCACCTCAAAACAACTGGCAGCCAGTGTACAATTAACTCTCCTTACTGCAGAACATATATCAAACAGTAACAAAATCAGATCAACTTTAAGTCATCTAATGTGATGCAAAACCACTTACCCACAACTCCAACACCAAGTGATGTCAGCTGACTTTTTAGGTGTACACCTTTCAGAAGAGTTTGCCCAAAGCTTCCATCTAATTAAGAAACAAATTCACTGGTACCCTACATTAAAAGGCCAACCTAGCTCCAAGGCTCCAAATGTACTTGGATTTGCAGATTCTTTCTCCAAACACAATTAGTGGCCAATGTAGGAGTCAATGGCCTCTCCCTGTGTTCAAGTCCCCTCCTACCCATCCACCCCCTTTCAAAAATTAGAAAAGAGCCACCAGTCTTCAAACTGGCTGATGAAATTTCAGCCTACAGGATATTTTCATACTTGAGTTATAATAAACAATTGAAATGAAGATAAATAGTGGACAGCTTAATAACCCACTGGATAGAGCATTTTATGCCTAGCATGAACATACAAAATTAAGTTCAAAATCTTTAACCTGGGCCAAACCAAATGTGTGGCTAATATATGTACATATGTGCATATGTGTACATCCATAAACACAGGTGTGTATCTATATGCATATATGTGTACCTGTATACACCTACATACATGTATGCATATACACACATATGTACATGTGTATGTGTGCATATATTACTTCCAACTGTCCATTTCTTAGTTCTACTCAAAGTATGAAGGGTGGAGTCTATTGTTTGCCTCACCCTAAGCTGTTCACTTTAGTCATTTGCTTGGTAAGGTTTTGATCGTATTCACATCAGAATTCGGTACCAGGCTCTGCTGCATCCCTTCATTGCCCAGAACTACCCCAGAAAGCTCCATTCAAGTTCATTCTGACAACCATCTATAGGTGCTATCACAATACCAGAACCTACAACAGGTGACAAATTCTCAATTTTTTATTAATCTTTCCCAAACACTAAGAGGTTTTATTAAACATTTCTAATACTGAGTTTACTTCAAATAGCCTAAGCAACATTTAAGTCTTTTAATTGTTTGGCTCAAAAGGCTGATTCACTCAAAGAACACACTAGTTACTGTTGTAAAGTTCAAAAGAAAAAAGAAGCATATTCTTTCTGTTTCAGACCACTGTGATATGGCTGAAAAGGGCCAAATCAAGGAGAAGTCTTTATTAGACCTCTCAAGTGGACAATCTGGTCAAGGTGAGGCTCCAAAGCAGTACACTGTACCTCCAACAAAAGGCCTTGGTTATGTGCCAACCCAAAGATGCCAACATAGTGGAAATGAGCCCTACAGTGGTCATTATCTAATGTAATCCATTGAGTGAACTTTTAGTACCAACCTACATATCAGCTGGGTGTTATTAGCCATCAGGAGGACCAGACAAGAGTGGACTATTGCAACATAAAGTCTTCCTCCCCACAAAAAAACAGCTTTAAAGTTGGATCTTCATGGTCATCTCTGTAGACCAACAGGGCATGTATTAACACATGCCTGATCCTTCAACCCTAAATTCACAGAGATGAAAGATTCACATACTAGCATGCATTAAAGTATGCCCTCAACTGAACATCCCAAGTGCCTCCTCCTTTCCCACTCTCAGCTCGGTGACTTTTTGTTACAATAGTCCTACAGTACCTGCAAAAACAGTGATAAAACCCTTAGAAATGTAACAGATTTAATCAAAAAGGAGCTTCATTACCTATTTCCTCATCCTTTTAGCCTTTATTTTTCTACCTATTCTGAGCCCTACCTCCACCTCTCTGACCCTCTCTTTTTACTCAACATTTTGCTCCCTATTCTGGCTATTACTGCCCTCTTCCCCTTCCTTCCACCAATTTCTTCCCAGTCTCTGGAACTTGCCAGTTCATTCCAGCTAGTTTCTGCACTAACCATTCGCTGAACCTGGAAGGCTCCTCCCCTTATCTTTCATGGCTGGCTATTTATTTAAAGCTCAGCTTAAGTATCATCTCAGAAAAATCTTTCTTGAAGCCAGATGTGGTGGCACACACCTGCAATCCCAGCAACTAAGGTGGCTGATGTAGGAGGATCAGGAGTTCAAGGCTAGCCTCAGCAACTCAGCAAGGCCCTACCTGAAGAACTTAATGAGCCCCTATCTCAAACTAAAAAATAAAGGGATGGGGATGCAGCTTAGTGGTAAAGTGCCCCTGGGTTCAGAACCAAAAAAAGGGGAGAAAGATGTTTCTTGATTTGCATTACAAACATTTTCTATCACAACATTCATTTTCTTTAGCACTTAATCAAAATTAGATTTCTTTATGTACTATCTCACTGTCCCCACCCCCACTTCAATTAAGCTCCAATACAGAGAAGACTTTTGCTTGTGTTCACCTTTGTACACTGGTTAGCACTTAGTAGCCAGTCAATAAATGTTTGTTGATTGAATGAATTTTGGACTTTTCATTCAATGGCAAACAAGGCTCCAAATTTATTAAGGTAAGAACAGCAGTCATTCTTTTGTTATTCTTTCATAAAACATCAAGCACACTGTTAGTTGTACAATCAAGGCATTAAGCATTCTGTTTTATCAGGCCTGAAAGACCTGATAAATGGAATAGGAATGTCTTTCCAGCATCAGAAGAACATCTGTTACGATAATTCTTCTAGCAAAATGCATATCAAGCTCAGTTACAGAGGGACAGGATTTATATCCACTTTCTAATCAAAGAACACCTAAAATTTAGGCACTATCAAAGTTCTTAAGAAGACAGTTTCAGATTCAACAGAGAATTTCTTAAAAAAAAAAAAAAAAAAAAAGACCAACACCAAAACAAGAATCATTATACTTCACTCTGAAATCCACACATGACAGGCTAGAGGAATGCTACTTGATGATTTTTTTTTTTAAACAACAGAATATCAAAGACATCTTTCCAGTTATTCTTTGCTTTCTTCGAACATTTTTTTCACACCCATTACTGGTTTATATTCTTCTTTACAATAAAACTGTACAGATCACAATGTCTCATTTGAGACCACCTATACACAAAGAATCAGCTAAACAAATAAGATGAAAATCAGCACAAGTCGATTGTGTCACTGAAGACGTGTGTGCCAGACACAAATGGAGAAAAAGATAAAAGAGCCATTGTCCAATTGTAGAAACAAAAAAGTAATATGGGGTTTTCTGTTCTCTGAAGTGCATCATGAAGTGTGGGTGGAGAGAAACAGAGAAATCCAGAATTAGCCTAACATCAAATCATTCTGGAAAGAGTTGACAACATGTAAATTCCTCACACATAAAGTATTTAGAGCAAGAGACCTTGATTCCTGGGCTATGATGCCATTTAGGATTCCTTGCAAAGGCTTTAGAATTCCACTATTCACAAAAGAAATTGCTCCTCCTTATAATAGGAAGCTACAAGGCGCTGAGAAGTACTCCCAATGCACAGCCTGTGACTGAAGTATTACAAAGCTTGCAGTTAAGATCTGGGATAGAAGCTGAACACCTAATTCAAAAGAGGTAACCAAGATACTAAGTGCCATAAAGGCGGGGGAGGGGGGGACCACGGCTGACACTCAAGCCACAGAGAATTAAAGTGGAAACGAGGGGTGTGTATGGGGGTAAGGGGGGGTTGGAAAAAACAATACATTTGTCACCCCATCCCACTTCCTATACAGGATACAGGCAAAGCGTCCAGCCCCATTACCTCAGGCACAGATGGTTATCGTTCATAGCAAAGGTGCACAGAAAGGCCTTCAGGTCGGAGCCCCTTAATTCCGGGGCTGTTAACGATTAAAGAGACGGATGGGGGTGGGGAGGGAAATGAAGGCGGAGGGAGCTGGAGATTCACCCACCGTCTCCCCCTCCGGCTCCTACCTCTCAGCGCTCACCCGAGACTTAGGACCAGAGTCTGCACCTCCTCCAGGGCAGTTCCGGCCYCAGACCCCCAGGCCCTGGGTTGAGGGGTGCTGGCCGTGGGAGGCAGGGACAGTAGGCAAGTTTTCTGAGCCCTGCGGCTGACACGCCACAGGCTCCCCTCACAGCCTCTTCTTCCTGGGGGACCAGTCCAGACAAGGCGCTGATTTCCACTCCTCCCCTTCCACCCCGCWTTTCTCGAAGGAACCCAACCCCCGCCCCTGCATCTCTCAATGCTCCCCCCTTTTCCTCAACTCCCCCCTCCCCAAACTCACAGCTGCTCCAGAGGTTCCTCCAGTCAAACCCTTTCTGGAAACGACGGCGGCTCGGCGGGTCCAAACCACCTACCATCCCCGTTCGCGTTTCCAGGTTCCCTACCCCCGCCGCCGCCGCCTCTTCTTCCACCACTGCCGCCGCCTCCTCTTCATCTGCGGCCCACCGGCGGCGGCCGCCCCGAAGCCCCGCCCCCTCCATCGCCTCCTGCATCATCACTTCCGGTAACCCCGCCGGCCGCCAGCTCCAGGAGGGAGAATGGGAGAGGGGCGGGGAGGGAACGGGTGGAAGATTACGTCACGGCGTACGCAAAGACGTACGAAGCCATAGCCAAGTAAGGGCAAAGACGTACCACCAGGAGGGAAGGCTACATGGAGCTGGGCTGGACCATTTTTTGACTGGAATGGGGGAGCAGGATAGCGAGAGTGGTGAAGGGTCAAAAACAAAGAGTATGAGATTGGGTACATTGTTGGATGCGACCAAGAACGGCATATAGTTGGAAGTTTAGGAAAGCTCGAGACTGCCCCTGACCTGGGACTCGTGCTCCCACATTAGTCCTCCCGGTGGTTTGGTCCGGCCTGTCCTACCCGACCTGCCGGAGCTCGGTCGGCCACCGCTCTGCAAACCTCCTGGCGCCGCCTCCTCCCTGCCAGCCAGGGGCTGCGGGGCTTCTGTGGGTGGGGGAAGGTAGGACTGACGCAGAGTGAGTGTAAGGGATGGAGACTCTGACTCCTGGCGCCGGGAACCGGGGGAAGGGGTTGGCTCCCCAGAGGCAGGGATGCCGTTGGGGTGCGGGTGCGGCGTCGCTAGGAGACGCGCCTGTGTGACCCCAGCCTCGCGAGGACGGCTTGGTGTCATCGCCACTAGCCTCGGAGACCTGGCTCCGGGAAATGGGCGAGGAAAGGGAGGCTTGGTTTGGGGGTCCCTCTGAGACTTCTCTGAACCTTTTGGATCCCCGAATGTAGATGCGAGAAGACGGGGGCAGTTTTGGGGGCGAGAGGCGCTTGGCTTAGGCAGGTCGGCCTAAACTAGCTCCCGCACGGAAACGGAGACTTTGTGGGACCCTTGAGAGTCAGCGTCGTACCTCCCTGATCAGCAGACTTGAGAACATTTTAGTGCAGGAGTCAACAAGTCAATCAATTCAGAAGATATCCACAAGTGAGAAATGCCCGGTGCAATGATGGAAGATGGTGGGAGGGCTGCTCTACATAGGGTGAGACTGTCAGAGGAGGTCACGGTTTGAGAAGAAGGAAGAATGTGCTTTCTAGGTGGAGAAAAGAGCTGGTGGGAGGACCACGTGACCACCATTTCTGAAGCAGAAATGGGCAGTGTTCTGTGTTGAAGCTGAAGAATTGGCAAAACCTTTTTGCCCAAGGCAAGGATTTGGCTTTTGTGGTACCAAAGGATTTTAAGTAGGATGGTGACCTGACCTGATTTACATTTTTTTTTTTTTTTTTAAATCACTGTAGCCTGGCTGGGTGGTAGCTCAGTGGTAGAGCGCTTGCCTAACATGTGTGAGGCACTGGGTTCAGTTCTCAGCACCTTATCTATATAAATAAAGGTCCATCGACAATTAAAAGAATAGTTAAAAAAAAATCACTCTGGCTGCTGGATGGAGAATGGTAGTCAGACCTGTTGAGAGGCTGTTGCCTTAGGCCAAGGGAGAGATGACAATAGTGTTTGTTGAAAGGGCCTTCATTGTGGAAAGAGAGAGAAATAGATTGGAGTATTTTTGGAGTTTGCAGGACTTGCTTCCAATTGGATGTGAAGTGTGKGGGAGAGGGTGGAACCCAGGGATCACTCCCAAAGTGAAAAGAGTTTGGAAAAGAATGTTAAGTTCTCCTGAACAGAGCTAAGTATGAAAAATCTGTTAACAATCCAGAGAAAGATGTTGAGAGAAGTTTTTAGGTATTCAAGTTAGGGGGAAAGTAGTAATTGGAGATAATAAATGTGTGTGTGTGTGTGTGTGTGTGTGTGTGTGTGTTTTGGGGGAGTCTGTTCCTAGGTCACCTAGGAACAGGGTAGAGATTCCCAAACTCCTTGGGCTTGTAACACTTAGAGATCTCGCAGAGAGGGAGAGACCAGTAAAGGAGACTTAATATGGACAAGACATCAAAGATAAAAGAAGAAGTCCCCCTTAATATACTGGAATAATGGGACCCACCCTCATGATGTGAGATGCATCCTCAAAGGTCTGGCTCAAATCCTTCCTTCCTCTCCCAGCTGTCAGTGCTTTTGGACTTATGCACAGGTAATTTGCATCCATTATAGAAAAGGTGACTTTGATAAATGTTTATTTACATGTCTGTCTTTTTCCTGGACTATTTCATCTTTTTGTCTTCCYGACTCCTGGTACAGAGCCTTGCCAATAGGGTACAACATGGGGTTCTACTGGACAGGAACACAAAGTTCATATATTATCAGCTATGGAATTTAGTAGCTTTTGACAAAGGGGTTCTTGTGCTTGCTGCTGCTGCTGCTAACATCATCACAATTATGTTCCATCTCATAATCTAGTAGAAAAGATATCAGAAGAAGAATCAGAAGGACTAGGTTTCTATCTCGAATCTGCTACTAACCAGCAGAGTGGTCTTGGATAAGGCCCTTTGAGCCAAAATAGTTGGCGTAGATTAGAAGTTGCAAAATGGCTGGACATATTTTGCTTACATATTTTTGGGCCCACAAAGTAATGTAAATTCTTTAACTTGACAACATTGGGTATCAAAACCCAGATTTTTCAACTTCATTTGAAAAATCAAACAATCTGWCGCTAGCCTGAGGTTCTTTTAGATTCCTACACAGCAAGTCCGTTAAGCATAAGAACTGCTTTCCCCATTTGTGTGACTTATTCCCCAAGTATGCTGGAGGCCTCTTTTCCCTTCCAGTGCCTGGCTGACCCCTGTGGACATTTGATTTGCATTTTTTGGTCTAGAGCTATGCTGTCTATAATATAAATATATATATATATATATATATATATATATATATATATATAAATCTTTTAGTTACATGTGACTTTGAAATAACAATTCAGGTCTTTGGACACACTATATTTCAAACACTCAATAGCTACATGTGGCTCGTGTCTGTCCTGTTGAATGAGGCAGAAAGAACAAATATTTCTGAAGACAGGGTCTCTCTTAAGTTAACAGGCTGGCCTTGATCAGTCTCATCCTCACAAGTAGCAGGGATTTCAGGCACGCACCACCAAGCCCAGACAGAACAGTTTCATCACTGAAAGTTTTGTTGATCAGTGCTGAAACTGGAGGAACTTAAGGGTACTCTGGCTGCTTATCATTCATATCATAAGACTGGACAATCATTGCTCCTACTCTTAAGGGACTTAATCTGGTTAGAAGCTGAAGTGTCCCTACAGATAAGAAAAGTTGCTCATTTGGTAGTGGATTGGAAAATGTTCTGAAGCCCTGGTCCCTTGTGCAGATGATGTTTTCTCTTGAATAGTTGGAGCTAGGGTTAGTTGCTAATAAAAAGCTCCAGCTGTATCTAATGTAATCTAACCCTTTTATCAGTTTCCTAATCCAGTTTCTAAGAATTATCACAAAACAGGAATTTAGATTAATGTTTTGGCTCTCTTAACTTCCCTAGCTGCTATAAAAGGTTGAAAATCCTGGCTTGGGTTATGAATGACTGGTTGATCTTCAGCATTGGTCTGATTCCAGCCTGTCCTGTACTTCTTTGACACCACTTACTTCTAGTTAACTGGTTTTTGCCACCTCCTACTGACCTTCAGCTTGTCTTTATCTCTTAAAATGTGCTGATAAGGAGCAAGCATGATAGCTCATGCCTATGCCTCAGGAGGCTGAGGCAGGAGGATGGAGAAGGCCAGCCTGAGCAATTTAGCAAGATGTTGTTTCAAAATATTTTTAATATTGACTCCAGGAGAAGTCAATCCCCCGTGTTCCTTCCCCCCCCCCAAAAAAAAAAATGCTGATAAGGAACTAGATATTCCTATTTCTTTTGAATTGAGGGACTGTGACTTGAAATTCACTTAGAATTTGTTTCCCTAAAGGGAATAAGAGTTGTATATCTATTGGTTGATATATCTTGGTTATAGTGTAAATAGCCTATATATCTATTGGTCAGTATAGCTTGGTTACAGTGGTCTGATTGGAGTTCCCCTTCACAAGTATAATCTTGTGTGCACTCCAGTGCTGATGGAATACACAGATGGGCCCAACTGAACGATGGTTTAACTTAGGATTTCTTGTCTTCAATGGTGTGAAAGTGATATGTGTTTGAATTTTGATCTTTTCCTGAACTAGCAATATGTCATCCAGTACTCTCCCAGTACAGGGCAGCCACTGCTAGCCACCCAGAACTTCCACTCGGCCATGAGGGTGAGCAACCAAGACTTCACATTGTGCTGTGTTGCTAAGCCATGATGGTAGTTTAGGAATAACACGTGCATTTTCCACTTAAGRTGTTTTCAACTTTTGACAAATTTATCAGGTCCGAGTTGAGGGACATCTGTATTTAGAATGGGTATGTTTACCTCCTATGATCTTATTTGGGATAGTTAGTTTAGAAGTCTTTTGGATATTTCAGTTTTGCCCCTTTACAGAGAGTTTCATTTCTCTTAGGTAAAATAAAAGTACCTTTCCTCCCTGCCCCCAGTCTCTGACACACCAATATTCTCATCGCTTTCTGTGTGTAAAAAAAAAAAAATGCTGTTTCAGAGAATAGCTGCGGTAGGGTGAAGCACACCCACAAGTACATCCTGAGATTTGCAAAAGTATGTGGCATTACACTTCCCTTTTTGAATTCTAGTAACCAAAAACTGAATCCAGGACAGGAAACAAGTCTCTGTATGTGGTGATGGTGGTGGTGGTGGTGGTGGTGGTGTGTGTGTGTGTGTGTGTGTGTGTGTGTTGCTTGATGGAAGGGAAGGAAGGCAGAGGACAACGGGTGCGTGGTGCCCAGTTTCACTTGAATAGTAACGACGCTATTGTATAGGATACAAATAGTATAGGATACTGTGTGCCAAACAGTAGGAAGTGTCACAGATCTAGGAGAAAAGCAACCAAAGGATAAACAAGGAGTAAGAGATAAAGGAAGWAAAATAGGAAGGAAAGCCTGGTCATGCCTTTGGTGTTGGCACCTGCACTGTATTTCCAGTAAGAAGTATGTGCTGTGGCCTGAAGATAAGCAGTGTCTCCAAAAGGTTATTTACTCACACTGAAGAACAATAGCCCTTTACTGTAAAGGGATTATTAATGATCAGAGGGAAACAGCTTTAGGAAAATCCATTCTACCACAAAGCAATAAATTCACCAACAGGCATCAGACTTCTTTTCCCCTCTCTGCAGACAAAGC